GTGGGGTGGGGGCAATTGCATCACTTGTTTTTCCTGGGTTTTGGTCCTCTCTGTGTTGTTTTCATTACTATTTATTATTCTATTATTTCAATTATTAAACTGTTCTTATCTCAATCCATGAGTTTTCTTACTTTTCCTCTTCCAATTCTGTCCCCGTCCCGCTGGGGGAGAGCGAGCAAGCGGCTAGGTGGTGCTTGGTTGCTGACTGGGGTTAAACCACGACAGTCACCCAGATTTGTACCAATTTTTTCTAAGCTATATGTTACGCCAAAATTAACATTTGCTTTATGGACTTCGCCTTTGCAGGCCGTCGAAAATGACGTGGAAGTAGGGCCTCTGATCTAACAAATCTTGGCTGCCTGTGGGTTTGTATCTCTGCTTTCTCTTTTTCCCTGGCTGCCTGTTTTTACATTCTTTGAGGTTTATTTTGAAGACCTTTACCCTGTGGGCTTCATGGGCTCAAAGGAGATGTGCCAATCAGTTCATTAGGTAAGGCTCACTTCCCTAAGAAACGAGGCTAAAAACTGGGCTTGAGTACACCAGTAAAGGCAAAGCCCCAGGGAGAGAAAAAAAATAATCTGTAAGGTATGGATCACTTTAAAATAGGTAAAAGGGATAAAAAGCATTAAAGCAAGAAAGTGACGGGTAGAAGCGTCCCAAGGAAGACATCTGTTTTGGAAGTGGTATACGGTATCAGAGTACATGTTTTTTCAGAGGTCTCATGCATCGGGTTTCTGTCCTAGCAGCCCTCCGTGACCCAGCTACAAATAAGCGGATGAAGGTAAAACCAGCTAAAGGCTCGCATCCGATCAGGCTCACAGCGTGGCGGTGCGCAGTCCTTGCCGTGAAGAGGTTTACCAAAGAGAAGCTTCCTTTAGTAGGCCTCCTCACGCTAGTACCAAAGTGCTGCTGAACGATAACCCAGCGGTTCTAGTTCTCTTCAGCGTATTAGCAAGCTATTTATTTTATTTTATTTTAATGACGAATACAGGGTCATGGGTTAAGACTCTCTTGTATGAAAAGCATGTCCAAACAGTTGATTTCATTTTGTAGTATAATCTTAAACGTACCTTGGAAAATTGAAACGCGAAAAGATTTTATTGCAACAAGTAAGAAATTACATGAAAATATTTACTTCCCGAACTCTTGCAAAAAAGATAGCTGACAACAGGAGCTGTTTAAGACTTGGTTCATAATTTTACTGTGAAAAAAACCCAAACCTGTCCGATTCCCTCCCTTCCTCTTAGAATATGCTCTGCAAAGTGACAGGTAATGAGTAGAGGGGCCTACTACTGGGATCTTTGTAGAACTTGTTAACCATCTCTCCTTTCAAACCTCGTAACTATAAAATGAAAAACCGGATTTAGTCTTAAATTTGAAAAATATATTTTGGTATACATAAACATTAAGAGGCGTCCAGAAGAAGAAACCTCATTCTAGAAACAGAACTTCAGAGGATGGTACCTATCGGTGCTCTTCACCTCAGCTAACGCTATAAAGGGCATGTTTGTGCCGGTTTGGGTATGTAGCTTTCCTGCGGTTTTAGCTCTTTTATTTATTCTCTTATAGTGCAAATTTACTTATTTCAAGAAAAACAGCTCGTAAGAGTTACATAAAATCAAGGCCAAATCAAATTCCACATGATTCCTCCCTATATACTGTGTCTGTTTTACTATGTGAAGAGGCAGCAGTAATCTTAGATAAAGTAGGTTGGTGGGGTTGTGGGGGTTTTTTTTGCCTAAAATGCCCTTTTCTGGGTGTGTCTACAGAATTTTATGGTACTTTATCACCGCTTTCTAACCAAGACAAACACTCAGTAGCCTGTAGTGAGACAGGACGGGGCAGAGCCTTCTGGAAAGGAAGCGAGGGGTTACTTACCTGCACTCGGGTATTATTAAAACAATGCTGGTCCTACAGACTCTTACTTTTGGTGTAGGGTACGTCTAGAATAGAGCTGTGGAGACTCTTCTAGGGAGTAGTGTGGCCTTTCTTCCTCTCGGAGGTACGTGTATTGCGAGGAGGAATAGCATGAGGTCACTATCAGAATGAAATCTTCAGCTCCTTTTTTGCAGGTGCCTTCTATGGGAAGAAATCCAATAAAATCAAACCTTGAAAGGACTGGGTATTTCTCTAAAATTACTTTTGCCTGCTGTTGTCATAAAGGTCAGCAAACGGCACTTATGGCTCAAGTGACAAAGTTTCGATGTTTTAACAGTGCTTCGCATTCATATGGCTTAACTGAAAACGCTGGCAGATATTCTCAAAATCCCAATATGCCATTACAAAATAAATATTTGCATACAAAGTTGTAAAACCAAGTATTTCAAACATGAAATCTGAAAATAACAACTGAAAGGTGGCCTGGAAGTCGATGTTGTCAGTTTTCTGAAAGCTTCACGTCTGCAGATGTTGAAAGCATCTTTTTAACATAGTACTTCTAGATTTCAGAATTGGATGTCTCGGGATATCCGAGGAAGGATTTCATCCCATATAAAAGCCACAAGTATGGTACCTGAAAAGAGAAATGACAGAAAGGACCTTTATTTGAATGTATTTGAGAAGGACACAGTACTGGCATGGAAAATAAATATTATGTTCAAGTATTTGAGCGTCTAACATGCAGTGCAGCAGGGATTGCAGAAAAATGGAATTTTCTGTCAAAAAGGCCTAGAGGCAGTCAGTACTTTTTGCGAACACAATCTTTTTCGCAAAGAAAGCTTCAACAGACCATGCAAGTGATCCTTATGAGTCAATAATCTTAGAATCATAGAATCATTAAGGTTGGAAAAGACCTCCAATATCATCGAGTCCAACCGTCAACCCAACAACACCACGCCCACTAAACCATGTCCCTCAGCGCCTCATCTACCCGTCTTTTAAATACCTCCAGGGATGGTGCCTCAACCCCTTCCCTGGACAGCCTGGTCCAATGTTTAACCACTCTTTCAGTAAAGGAATTTTTCCTCACATCCAATCTAAACCTCCCCTGGTGCAACTTGAGGCCATTTCCTCTCGTCCTATCGCTTGTTAGTTGGGAGAAGAGACCGACCCCCACCTCACTACAACCTCCTTTCAGGTAGTTGTAGAGAGCAATGAGGTCTCCCCTCAGCCTCCTTCTCTCCAGGCTAAACACCCCCAGTTCCCTCAGCTGCTCCTCAGCAGACTTGTTCTCCAGACCCCTCACCAGCCTCGTTGCCCTTCTCTGGACACGCTCCAGCACCTCGACGTCCTTCTTGTAGTGAGGGGCCCAAAACTGAACACAGTATTTGAGGTGCGGCCTCACCAGGGCCGAGTACAGGGGCACGATCACTTCCCTGCTCCTGCTGGCCACACTATTTCTGATACAGGCCAGGATGCCATTGGCCTTCTTGGCCGCCTGGGCACACTGCCGGACCAGCACCCCCAGGTCCTTTTCCGCCAGGCAGCTTTCCAGCCACTCTTCCCCAAGCCTGTAGCGCTGCATGGGGTTGTTGTGGCCAAAGTGCAGGACCCGGCACTTGGCCTTGTCGAATCTCATACAGTTGCCCTCGGCCCAGCGATCCAGCCTGTCCAGGTCCCTCTGCAGAGCCTTCCTACCCTCGAGCAGATCAACACTCCCGCCCAACTTGGTGTCGTCTGCAAACTGACTGAGGGTGCACTCGATCCCCTCGTCCAGGTCATTGATAAAGATATTGAACAAGACCGGCCCCAACACTGAGCCCTGGGGAACACCGCTCGTGACCGGCCGCCAACTGGATTGAACTCCATTCACCACAACTCTCTGGGCCCGGCCGTCCAGCCAGTTTTTGACCCAGCGCAGAGTCCACCTGTCTAAGCCGTGAGCCGCCAGCTTCTCGAGGAGAATGCTGGGGGAGAGGGTGTCAAAGGCCTTACTGAAGTCCAGGTAGACCACATCCACAGCCTTTCCCTTGTCCACTAGGCGGGTCACCTGGTCATAGAAGGGGATCAGGTTGGTCAAGCATGAACCCATGCTGGCTGGGCCTGATCCCCTGGTTGTCCCGCTCATGCCTTGTGAGCGCCCTCAAGAGGAACCGCTCCATAATCCTCCCCGGCACCCAGGTCAGGCTGACAGGCCTGTAGTTCCCCAGATCCTCCTTCCGGCCCTTCTTGTAGATGGGTGTCACATTGGCCAGCCTCCAGTCGTCCGGGACCTCCCCCATTAACCAGGGCTGCTGATAAATGATGGAAAGTGGCTTGGCGAGCTCCTCCGCCAGCTCTCTCAGCACCCTCGGGTGGATCCCATCCGACCCCATAGACTTGTGAGCATCCAGGTGGCGTAGCAGGTCATTGACTGCTTGCTCTTGGATTATGGGGGGTTCATCCTGCTCGCCGATGTCAACCCACTGATTATTACATTTTGAGGTCAGTGGTTTGGCCAGTTTTTATTCCATCTAACAGCCTTTTTGTGTGACCCCTACTTCTTTGACTTTGAACCAAGGATGCTGTGGGAGATGGTGTCAAAAGCCTTACTAAAGTGACGGTATACTACATCCACTGCTCCCCGTTCATTCCCACAGACATTCATTTCATCACGGAAGGCAACCAAGCTGGCTGAGCGTGGATCGCCCTCGCTAAATCGGTGCTGACTGTTCCTGATGACCTTTGTGGTTTTACATGGTTGGAAATGGATTCGAAGACGAGATGCTCCACCATCTTCCCAGTGACTGAGGTTAGACCAACTAGCTTATAGTTCCCTGACGTCTTTCTCCTCCTCCTCTTCCTTAAAAGCAGGCATGGTATTAGCTCATTTCCAGTTGTGAGGAAGCTCCTCCAACTGCTGTAACTTCCCGTAAATGATGGACAACAGTAACATCGGCCAACTCTACCTGCATTTTTAGATGAATCCCAGGAGAGCCAATGGATTTGCATTCATCCAGCTTCTCTGTCGTTCCTACCCTGTTGCTCCCCCACTATTTATTGCCTCCTTTCCAAAACCTTACTGTTTTACACAGAGGTTTGGGAGTAAACTTTGCTTGGGAACACTGTGGGGGGCAGGGGGGGAAGAGTACCTCAGCCTTTTCTATGTCACCCATCACTAGGTTGTCTCCCCCATCCACCAATGGACCCGCATCTTCTCTGGACTTTTTTTGTGATTAATATATTTGTAACCCTGTATGTCCCTAGTCTTAGTTCCAGCTGAGCTTTGACATTCCTGATCTTGCTCCTAAGTACACGGGCAAAGCTTTTATACTCCTCCTTTGCTGCCTGTCCCTGTTTCTACTTCTTACATGCTCTCCTTTGTTCATAGCGAAGCTTCTTGTCTAGCCAGCAGGGAAAGGCTTTGCGTCAAAATTCCCAGTCTAACTACATGACAGATTGTTCCTGCACATCCAACTGTGTTACTGAGCTCTCAGTAAGCTTTTTTTGAAAAATCACCTTTCCATGGGATACTTCTGCCATTTGTGGCAGCTTCCGAGGGAATTACTACTGACCTAGCAATTCCCTAAATAAACAGAATTTTGTTCTCCTGAAGTCCAAAGTCTAAACAGCTCTGCTATTTACCTCCCCAGTCTTCCTCTGGACCCTGAACTCTTGCGAGGACTACAACCCAAGTGGCCACATGCACCACCAGTTCTTTCCTGTTTGTGAGCAGGTCAAGTACAGGATTTCCACGCGCGGGCCCTTCAGTATTTGAATTAGACTTGATTAGTGACAGTTTTCTAGGAACTTCCTGGATTGCATTCACTCACTGCATGAGTGTTGCTCTGTCAGATGATGTCTGCATAGTTGAAAACCCCTAGAAGGACCAGGGTCTGGGAGTAGGAGACTTCTGCTAGTTGTTTGTTGAAACCCTCCTTTGCTACCAAGTCCCCAAGGTGCTGATCACTTCACTGCACATGGACTTGCAATTCTTGTTTCTTTGCTAAGCTCCGTGCTTAAGTGTACTGAACTTGATGGAAACCTCTGAATACCCTCTCCTCTGAGCAGAAAGGTGAAAGTTTCACCTGTAGTCTCCTCCCTTGCTTACCTCCTCCATTTATGTCTACTCCTAAGCAACTTTTGTGGCACTTATTTTCTATCCTGACGGTGAAAAAACATTTTCTTCTAAGGAACAGTATTAGTCTTTCTGGTAAAACTGATCTAAAGCAGTGGGCATTGATTCTGTTTTTATAGTGTTAGAAACCTAGCAGGATGCTAAGCTGGCACCTGTCCAGGAAAGAGCATCCCATTTTACTGCCCTCACGTCCATCATCTTGTCACCAACTCTTATAAGCATAACTGCCATCTCCCTGGTACTGAAAAAGAAGCATTAGCTCAGTCCCCATAATTACTAATGGTATAATCATGCCTTGACAACTAACATGAATTCCTTTGGCAGTAAAACAGAAACTATCTTTGTTCCACTAGTACTTACTACTTCTGTGTTCACTGTGCAGAATTTAGGTCTGCCTATGCTAAGTCATAAATGCTTGCTGACATCTATATTTACTACAGGAATTAGCTGTTTTAACGCTACTGGAGAATCACCTTCACCAAAAGGTCAGTGAAGCCATTTTGAAAAATGAGTTCTTAACTACAGTTCCAAGATTATATTCGTGAAAGACCATAAACCACCAGCAGATTTGTTTATCCTAAAAGAAAACTTCCACTTCCTCCTCCTCTTGTGAAGGTGATAATCAATCTTCCTCTTGTTCTAAGTGTCCTTTCTAAGAAAATTGTTTTACAGTTGATGGTTAAGAACTCGCTTACGGCTATATCAGGGTATCTGTTATATACCGAATGGTCTCAGTCTCCTTGTCCTCATGGGTATTTGCTATGCCCATAAATGAGATCATATTGCACTTTGCACAGGCAATTTGAAGTTTCGTGGTATGCTAGTCCATGGTTCTGCAGATGGTAGTTATTACAGCAAATCACAAAAAACCCTAATAGACTCCTAAAAGAATTCCCCAAAATAAGAACAAAGTAATTTAACCATCTAAGGTGCTGATGCTGGGAAAAGTGAGACATCGAATGAGCATATCATTACAACTCTGCCCGTTTCTAGTAAGTCTGAAACAGTATTTCTGCTGACACATGGATTCTGAAAGTAATTTTTACAACTAAATTTAAAATATCCCTTCCCTCATCATCTACTTTTATGATTCTGCTTAGAGGTTCTTTTCACGAGAATTTTATTATCATCACAACAGGTCATTTTCCTAGATGCCTCATCATTTGGTCCAATTTTGGAAGAAAAAATTTTATTCCTGTAATTTTCTTATTTTCAAAAAGTGTCAGAAAAACTTAATTTCATGTTAGATTTGTAGATCTGCGCTCATGTATTCATCAATTCAGTTTTCAAATATAACTCTCTCCTCTGTACTTCCACCTCAGATAGATACCTTACATTTGTTTACAACTCTTGGTTTTATAAGATAAGGTCTATATGTATCCATGAAGCTCCCTTGTTTTGTAACGAGATATTTATATAACCAGCAGACTACTTGGCACTTCAGGTGATCCACAGACCTGAGATCTGTAACAAAATGTTTGACTACAGTAGTGACACTGCACAAAAAGTGATGTGTCCTGAGTATTCACGTCTTTACAACCGCTTGGTCTGGAGTTCCTTTCCCTCTAATTAAGAGAGAGCATTCAATACATTCTGTATGTATTTTCCATATGTTAACTAATGATAAACCGCTGTTTATGAATTTTCACAAAAATGTAACATTACTCCCTAACCACATTCTAATTTCCTCAAGTCGTGGTTCCATTTGTGTTAACATCTGTTGATTTTGTTACTCAAGATAAAATCACCCGAAGGCTTTCTGCAAAGCAGTTCTGCAGGATGCATCTTGCTAAATAAGTAGAACATGGTGTTTCTTCTGAAACACGTTCTGCCTCCTGTTTCTTTAGATCACTTGTCAAAATATTAAAGCCCAAGTACTTACAACCCAGGCAATCTCAAAATGGATATCAGGCTGAAATCAGTGTTGATAATACAGAGATGTTTTCATTATTGAGCTATTAAATCGACAGACTTCTGTGCTTGCCATGGGGCTCGCTTGCCCTACTGTATATTAGAGTCTAGCGCTCGTTACTGGCTGCTTTTTGCTTTTGCTGCTTGCTGTACTGCTTATCATCTTTTGGGAGGGGGCACAGCCAGGACAGCTGACCCAAACTGGCCAAAGGGACATTCCATACCATATGACGTCATGCTGAACAAAAAACTGGGGGGAGTTAGCTGGGGGGGGGTGCGGCCGCTGCTCAGGAACTGGCTGGGCATCGGTCAGCGGGTGGTGAGCAATTGCATTGTGCATCACTTGCTTTGTATATTCTTTTATCATTATTGTTATTTTCCCTTCGTCTTCTGTCCTATTAAATTGTCTTTATCTCAACCCATGAGTTTTACCTTTTTTCTGATTCTCTCCCCCATCCCACTGGGGGGAATGAGCGAACGGCTGCGTGGTGTTTAGCTGACTGCTGGGTTAAACCACAACAGCATGAAATCTACGGAATATCGTATGTTCTGCTAGGACCCAGCTTTGCTGAAGACTACCTGTTTTCTTCTTTGCTGAAGAATACCTATATTCTGATTTTTGAACCATGTACTAAATAACACTTTCTCAGATACATAAAGTATTAAGAACTTACCTAAGGATGGTGCTATCCAATATACTAGCGAGTAGCTCAAAAATTTGTCATAGAAACAATTTGCATGTAATGAAAAAGCCAATGCTGGGTTAAATATTGCTCCTGTGAGATTTCCACCTGCAATAAAATATACACAATATGAAATCAAACCATCTTTCTTAATATTTATTTTAAATCAATATCGAAATGCACACACACAATACTACAAGAAATGTACACCCTGCAATAAAATGAATTAGCAGAAACCATTTGAAGAGAGAAACTTTTCTGGAGTTATTTATCCGATGATATGTTTAACAGTTTAACTGTTTTCTAAAACGCTTTAAAATAGCTGAAGCATAGGCTATAACTTCCTTTATCTCTTTCCAGCAAATATTCTTTGAAGAGATGGGTTTGGCTAATGTTGAATGTTTCTATTGATAAAGCTACAAGCTGTTCAACTAATAGTCTGCATCATGCTTTTAGAAGAGACAGAAATTACAGAAATATTAGTAAACAAATACTGAGCTTTCATTACATCCCCATGTCGCATGTAACACGTATGCAAGACAATGGAGAAAACTGTCAAGCACTGTTCTTGCTAAGCTGACCTCTGTACTTTCTTATTAGAACACTAATATTATCATATCAATTTAGAGAACACTAAGGTCATCATACGGTAATAACTTGGGGAAAAGCCTTCACAATCATTCTATGTGTTGCTTGAAGAAAATAAAAGCAAATGCCACTCCACTCTTGAAAAAGGAAGCTTAAAGAAGCCAAGCATCTGTCCTTGCCTCTGACTTCAGATGTAAATGAAGTTGCCTAAACATTCTCTAAATAACCTGATCTGAACATATTACATTGTGGAGACTAAACTGTAATTACACTGCAGATGAACCTGGAGCTAACTGTTTTTAATTCTGACATATGTTGTTCCTCTCATTGCAATCCTGCAGAAAAAGCATTACTCATAACAAAATTATCTGTATTTCTGTACTATTAGTTACTAACCACCCCATATCTGTTTTATTTATTAATCTATTCCCATAAAATATTATATAATTGTGTATGTTTAGTTTCTTAAAGCTTATTCTTGCTTTTCCCAAATAAGCTACCATGAGCTTTGAACTTATGGTACAAATACCATGCTGCTGTAATCCTCCTTTGTTATGAGCATGCAATCATTTACCGAAATTTTTAGTAAGGTCTTTGTCATTCTCCTGTATTTCCCTTTCGATATACTCATTATTTCTTTTACCGTTATTACAGTTCGAGAAGGTTTTAGTCTTTGTTGACCTACTCAGTTTACTCTGGTTTTACACTTGTTCTCAACAGCAACTCAGATTTACCGTGCCGTCTGTTACTCTGCACGTTGACACATTAACAACTTCCACTGTTGCCAGGAAGGTCATCTACAATAATTTACTTTGCTTTAAACTATGAATTCACTGCTTCTGCTTTTATATCCGCAAACACACATTTAAGAGTAGAATTTCGCACTCGGGATGCAGTTGCTGTTTCTGAACATCAAACATTAGACAGAGTTTTAACTGCTGTATTTCTTCAATATTCATTACTATTAACAACTGGAATATCAACCATAGGCCAGGGCCACTAGTATAATCTTATTTAAAAGTATTTATTAAACATCTCAGTCTGTGTACCAGAAAAGATAAATGATTTTATGGCAAAAGAAGTGTAACATCTTTGCCGTTGTACACATAAAAACTTAAAAACGTGAAGTAATGTGTGCTTCACACAATGTGAAGGCAAAACCAAAATTAGGAAGAAACTTGGAATTAAAAATATGTATGTCATTTTTACCTTGATATGTTAGGCTCAGAAACATCTAACCAATTTCATAGAATTCTGACTTCATTGTAATATTGCCTGTAAATGAAAAGCCCTCAAAAGGTGTATTTTTTATTCCCCTGACTAAATATTTTCCCAAAGAAAATATCCAAAAATATTGTTTACCAACATGTGTATAGTCTGCATCCTTAGCTTCTGAATCATTCCCTTAATATGCAAAGACATAATATCCTCTTTTTCCTTCTATTCAGTAGAAGAAACAGTGAATGCAGTATTGGGGCTTTTGTGTAGAATATGCACTATTATAAAAATTTGGTCTGTGTAAGTCTATCTGTAAAAAAAAAATCCAAATGTTTTTAACTATGAAAAGTAGAAGAAAAAACAAAGGGACAGCTTGTAATTTTGAAAATACTTACTGTACAGTCTGATGTTATTTGTTGCAGTAAGCTGCATGACATACCTAAGTACCTTTATGGAGTACACACAACAGTGACTTGTCAACATTTATTTAAACTTAACTTAGTCAACCATATAAATACAATGTAATGTTTTTGAGCCCTGTATGTGTATCAATATATTTAGACGGGTGTAAGCCATAGGGATATGGCTGTCCTTCAAAATTTTACCCAAATCAAATTTGATATGGAATAAGAGACATTCCTTCTTGCAGTTCGTTTTTAGACTGCAATCATTCCTCTTACAGGACACAGCTTTCAAACATATAGTAGAACGTAATTCATGGCATGAAGTATGGTATACTATGTATGAGATGTATTTTCTAACATTTCTGGTTCATTCATAACTGTAATAAACCCGGATCCTGAAGGCACAACTGATCTGGTTTTTAAAATCAGAGTGTATTTTTACATACATTAAAATAAATTTTATTTTGTAAATTTAATGCACCTTTCTGAGTTTCTAGCTAGAACACTGTACCTGTCAAACTCAAGTTTGAAAAATCATTATTCATACAACATTCTAAGCTATTTGCTATTTTTGTAGGAAAAAGGAAGAATGTTACCAGTTTGCCTAAATTAGCATTGCTTTGCCTAAATTTGCACTGGTTGCCTTGCCCTTTGGTGCTGGGTGAGCAAGAAAGATTCATTCCTCTTAAAGAAGCGCTCAAGTTCCTCATAAACAGTTAACAAAGCGGTGCAAAAGATTTCCTGAGAATGATCCAGCCCAGCTAAGTTAAGCATCTGCCTGTCTTCAAAGCCTGTAGACGAGAACTTGGCCTGCTGGAGGCCGCTGTCTGCAACCCCTGATTTGGAAGTCACTCTTCCTACTGTGTGTACGAAGCACCATTTCTCAACCTGGAGGTGGAACAGACACGGCTAGGGCTACGCCACGAGACCCACAGGATATGCCGTGGGTCGTATATATGCACCAGACACAGGTCGTGGCCACCTCCCAGGCCCTTCGCTATTGCCTCAGCTACGTGGCATGCCGTCAGGAGGCCGTGCCGAGTGGCCGTGGGAAGGGGG